TGATACAAGTCCACGTTTTCAAAAAAAAAATGGATGAGATTGGGTCCCAGCGGATCTAAACAATCTTATTTTTTTGAACATGAAGAAATAAAGAAGCCATTGCAATTGCCGGAAAGACTAGGCCTACTAACGGCACAAAAATAGATGGAAGGTTCAAATTTGTCATAGAAGGGGTACCTCGATTTACTATTTGTATCTGTTATTATGTTATTATATAAATAAAGATATCTTGTAATAATTATAATTAAATTAAGAATTTGAATTCTAATTACTAATTAGAAATTAGATAATATTTATTATTAATAGAATTTGAAGAATTTGAAATTCTTAGTATAGATCTAAGTATCTATATATCTAAATCTAACTGAGTAGGTATAATAAGTGCAAAGAATGTAGAACTGTAGAACTAAATAAATGGACTTATTCATCCCCTACATGAGAAAGATATGTATCATAATAAACTTTATTATTTTTCTTCATTTCTTTGTCTTTTGTTCTTGTCTTCTAATTTTCTAAAAATAGATAAAGAGTTTCTTACAGATTATCGAAAGATTCGTTCGAATCCGACCCAACATGAATTTTTAGCTAAAATGGTTTTTCGGGAGATAGAGAAAGATACAAAACTCTATTATCTATATTTGAATTTCAAATTATATACCTAAGACAAGAAGAAGAAATTCGTTTTATTTTCCTAATTTCACGAAAGGAAGAACTCACTCTTGTTGATAAAGGCTTCTTGATTCGTAATCAGGAATATAGGTCAAAAAAAGAGTTATCCTCAACTTTAGTTTTGATTCTTTCTACAATTAGATCTTCTATCACCAAAGAAAGCGCCATTATTATCTTATTTACTTTGATTCCGACAAACTAACTACTTTTTTGCTACAAACACAAATAAAATAATTGAACTTAGTGCTCTACTTGATTTTGCTTGACTTTTGATTCAAAGGAAAAAAGGCGTGGAGCTTAAATAACTCACTCAGAACGCTTTTTAAAAGATTACGTGGTACAATTAGGTCGAATAAACCCTTCTGGAATAAGTATTCAGCTGCTTGTGAACCTTCGGGTACTGTTTTATTCAATGTTTGTTCAATTACTCTTTTACCTGCAAATGCAATGTAGGCGTTGGGTTCGGCAATAATGATATCCCCCAACATACCAAAACTAGCTGTCACTCCACCAGTTGTCGGAGATGTAAGGATTGATACATAAAATAACTTTTTATTTAATTGATAATCATATAAAGCAGACGATATTTTAGCCATTTGCATCAAGCTCAAACTTCCTTCCTGCATGCGCGCCCCCCCAGAAGCACACACTATAATAAGGGGTAAAATTTGATTGGCAGCGTATTCAATCAAACGGGTGATTTTCTCTCCGACTACGGATCCCATACTACCCCCCATAAACTGAAAATCCATAACCCCAATTGCTACGGGAATGCCGTTTAGTTGGCCTATGCCTGTTTGAACAGCCTCGGTTAATCCTGTCTTTCTTTGATAAGAATCAATACGATCTTTATAAGGCTCCTCCTCCGAATGAAATTCAATGGGATCTAGAGAGACCATGTCTTCATCCATAGGATCCCAAGTACCCGGATCGATCAAAAGTTCAATTCTATCTGAACTACTCATTTTCAAATGATATCCACATTGTTCACAAATATTCATTTTTGATTTCAAAAATTTCTTATAATTTAATCCATAACAATTTTCGCATTGAACCCACAAATGCCTGTATTTTTGAGTTACCTCGAGATCATTAGAACTTTCTCTTATAGTTAAATCACTGCCCTTCGTGCGAGTTCGTCTACTGGAACCCTCGTTTTCACTACTATTTCGACTTTCACCACCACAAACGGCCCTATAAATGTAACTGTCACCGTAATTCTCACTACCACTTATAATGGAAGTATCTATACAGATTTGAGACTGAAGATAACTATCAATGCAACTATTAATGTGATTATTCCAACTATATTGAGTATCATACATGTAAGAATTATAGTAGGGATCTTCGCCCCTAAATCCATTATTCCGATAATTCGAGTTTCGATAACTATAAAAAGAACTTTCTAGTTCACTCAGAAAAGAATGATCGTTGTCAATCTCAAAAATATGATTTTCAATATCAAAATAGATGGAATAACTGTCTCCATTCCTATCACTAACTAAAAAAGTGTCATCAGAGATGAAATTCCGAATGTCTTTAACGCCGAATAAATAATCAACATTACTGCAACTAGAATTGTCACGATTCCTCCAACTATGAATGTTTTTCACTTTTCGATTTGGATCTTCATTGGTATTTTCAATAGGACCAAGACTGCCCATTGATTTATTTAGCCCACACCTGCGTTCGAACTCCTTCTTAAACAACATCGAATTAAACCACCATCTTTCCATAGAGTTTTCTTGCCCCCTATTTGCATGAAAATACAATAGATGAATAGTCATTCGCTATAAAATTATTTATTTGAATATCTTATTTCCTATCAGACTAAGCATAGAAATCCAATCACTAGGATTATTAACTAATAAGGATTGTGAGTATTGAAAAAAAGTTCTGAATCTGGGGGAACACTTCACTATATATTAATATGTTGGAACCCCCTTTATATTATTTAAAATAATATAATTTTTAATAAAGGGCGGCTTCTCCTATGTCGTGTCAAATTCGCATCGAAAAAAGAGATTTGTCCTCTCCTATAAAGAAATAAAAAAATAATTGTTTCGTAAAATCTCGTCTAATACTAATATCTAATCACTAACAAATCTAAAATTTAATAAAAAAATAAGTAATAAATTAAGGTTCTATTTCAACACGGAACAAAGGGGACAATATACAGGATGGGTAGAAAGAGGTGTGATACTTGGCTTGATTCAGGGAAACTACAAACTACAGGATAGAAAAGAATATACCAATCCTAAGGATCCGTAGGATTAATTGTGGATCCAAGACAACAATAGAAAGATTTGAGTCTTAGATTTTGATTTAGTTTTCTAGATTTTGTATTTCAAATCTTGTATATCTAGGTAAGTATATACTTAGTCAAAATATATGCAATAGAATCTTTGTTGTATTCGGCTCAATCCTTTTAGTAAAAGATTGGGCCGAGTTTAATTGCAATTCAATTAAGAGAACGAAGGATAATTACTTGAGTTCTTTCTCCTTATCCTTCTTTATTTCCTGCTAATTTATCTGCTAATGTCTACTGTTTTTACTTATCCAAAACGTCCACTGCTGCAAAATTAAATACGATCTCTTTCCATACTTCACAAGCAGCAGCTAGTTCCGGGCTCCATTTGCAAGCCTCGCGAATAATTTCATTACCTTCCTGAGCAAGATCACGTCCTTCATTACGAGCTTTTACACATGCTTCTAGAGCTACTCGATTAGCTACGGCACCTGGCGCATTACCCCAAGGATGTCCTAAAGTTCCTCCACCGAACTGTAGTACGGAATCATCCCCAAAGATCTCGGTCAGAGCAGGCATATGCCAAACGTGAATACCTCCTGAAGCCACGGGTAGAACACCTGGTAAAGAGACCCAATCTTGAGTGAAATAAATACCGCGACTTCGATCTTGTTCAACAAAATCATCACGCAGTAAATCAACAAAGCCCAAAGTTATGTCTCTTTCACCTTCAAGTTTACCTACTACGGTACCAGAGTGAATATGATCTCCACCAGACATACGTAACGCTTTTGCTAATACCCGGAAGTGGATACCATGATTCTTCTGTCTATCAATAACCGCATGCATTGCACGGTGGATGTGAAGAAGTAGACCATTATCTCGGCAATAATGAGCCAAGCTAGTATTTGCGGTGAATCCCCCCGTTAAGTAGTCATGCATTACGATCGGAACGCCCAATTCTCTAGCAAATACAGCTCTTTTGATCATTTCTTCGCATGTACCTGCAGTAGCATTCAAGTAATGCCCTTTGATTTCACCTGTTTCAGCCTGTGCTTTATAAAGTGCTTCGGCACAAAATAAGAAACGATCTCTCCAACGCATAAATGGTTGTGAGTTCACGTTCTCATCATCTTTGGTAAAATCAAGTCCACCGCGAAGACATTCATAAACAGCTCTACCGTAGTTTTTAGCAGATAACCCCAATTTAGGTTTAATAGTACATCCCAACAGGGGACGACCATACTTGTTCAATTTATCTCTTTCAACTTGGATCCCATGAGGCGGACCTTGGAAAGTTTTAACATAAGCAGGAGGGATTCGCAGATCTTCCAGACGTAGAGCGCGCAGGGCTTTGAACCCAAATACGTTACCTACAATGGAAGTAAACATGTTGGTAACAGAACCTTCTTCAAAAAGGTCTAAAGGGTAAGCTACATAAGCAATATATTGATCTTTTTCTCCAACAACACGCTCGATGCGGTAGCATCGCCCTTTGTAACGATCAAGGCTGGTAAGTCCATCGGTCCATACAGTTGTCCATGTACCAGTAGAAGATTCGGCAGCTACCGCGGCCCCTGCTTCTTCAGGTGGAACTCCAGGTTGAGGAGTTACTCGGAATGCTGCCAATATATCAGTATCCTTGGTTTGGTACTCAGGAGTATAATAAGTCAATTTGTACTCTTTAACACCAGCTTTGAATCCAACACTTGCTTTAGTCTCTGTTTGTGGTGACATAAATCCCTCCCTACAACTCATGAATTAAGAATTCTCACAACAACAAGGTCTACTCGACACGAATTCCGTGTTAATGAAACTTTTCACAGGAATCTTTCACAAAATTTCCAACTAATACTAATATTATCAACTAATCAGAATGTTTGATTATTAGACCATGGTATTTGATTTGCCAAATACATCATTATTGTATACTCTTTCATATATATAGCGCAACCCAATTTTTCTTTTTTACTTTTTTTTTTTTTGAAATGGAAATACCTGACTAACCTAAATAATAAGAACTTCCCCCTTGACAGTGGTATATGTTGTATATGTAAATCCTAGATGTGAAAATATACGGAATTCCTCTATGAATCTATGAAAGGTATAAAAAAGAAAGAAAAACACAAAGAAAAGAATAGGCTAGGCATAAATCGATATGCTGAAATTGAAATCAAAAATAAATAAGAAGAGGAGCCAATTAGATACAAATAATGAATCGTAATAGAAATAGAAAATAAAGTTCAGGTTCGAATTCCATAGAATAGATAATATGGATGGGATTGTCTATAATGATAGACAAATGAAAGACTTTCTCAAGATTCTGATTCATCCACTTGAGATTTTAAAATTAAAATAGGTTGGGTGGGCTTGCAAATTCACTCAGTCTCAGTGAATAAGTAAACAATTGAATCGGTTCAATTGCATGGTGCCAACGAAATCGAGTGCTAATTCCCATTTTATTGAATTAACCGATCGACGTGCTAGCGGACATTTATTTTGAATTCGATAATTTTTGCAAAAACATTTCGACATATTTATTTATTTTATTATTATGAGAATCAATCCTACTACTTCTGGTTCTGGGGTTTCCACGCTTGAAAAAAAAAACCCGGGGCGTGTCGTCCAAATCATCGGTCCGGTACTAGATGTAGCCTTTCCCCCGGGCAAGATGCCGAATATTTATAACGCTCTGGTAGTTCAAGGTCGAGATAGTGTTGGTCAACCAATTAATGTGGCTTGTGAGGTACAGCAATTATTAGGAAATAATCGAGTTAGGGCTGTAGCTATGAGTGCTACAGAGGGTCTAACGAGAGGAATGGAAGTGATTGACACAGGAGCTCCTATAAGTGTTCCGGTCGGGGGAGCGACTCTGGGACGAATTTTTAACGTGCTCGGAGAACCTGTTGATAATTTAGGGCCTGTAGATACTAGTACAACGTCTCCTATTCATAGATCTGCGCCCGCCTTTATACAGTTGGATACAAAATTATCTATTTTTGAAACAGGAATTAAAGTAGTAGATCTTTTAGCCCCTTATCGCCGTGGAGGAAAAATCGGACTATTCGGGGGAGCTGGAGTGGGTAAAACAGTACTTATTATGGAATTGATTAACAATATTGCTAAAGCTCACGGGGGCGTATCCGTATTTGGCGGAGTGGGTGAACGTACTCGGGAAGGAAATGATCTTTACATGGAAATGAAAGAATCTGGAGTAATTAATGAAGAAAATATTGCAGAATCAAAAGTAGCCCTAGTTTATGGTCAGATGAATGAACCGCCGGGAGCTCGTATGAGAGTTGGTTTGACTGCCCTAACTATGGCGGAATATTTCCGAGATGTTAATGAGCAAGACGTACTTCTTTTTATTGACAATATCTTCCGTTTCGTCCAAGCAGGATCCGAAGTATCGGCCTTATTGGGTAGAATGCCTTCCGCTGTGGGTTATCAACCCACCCTGAGTACCGAAATGGGTTCTTTACAAGAAAGAATTACTTCTACCAAAGAAGGGTCCATAACCTCTATTCAAGCAGTTTATGTACCCGCAGACGATTTGACCGACCCTGCTCCTGCTACGACATTTGCACATTTAGATGCTACTACCGTACTATCAAGAGGATTGGCTGCCAAAGGTATTTATCCAGCAGTAGATCCTTTAGATTCAACGTCAACCATGCTTCAACCTCGGATCGTTGGTGAGGAACATTACGAAACCGCCCAAAGAGTTAAGCAAACTTTACAACGTTACAAAGAACTTCAGGACATTATAGCTATCCTTGGATTGGACGAATTATCCGAAGAGGATCGTTTACTCGTAGCAAGAGCGCGAAAAATTGAGCGTTTCTTATCACAACCCTTTTTCGTAGCAGAAGTATTTACCGGTTCTCCAGGGAAATATGTTGGTCTAGCAGAAACAATTCGAGGATTTCAATTGATCCTTTCCGGAGAATTAGATGGTCTTCCTGAACAGGCCTTTTATTTGGTAGGTAATATCGATGAAGCTACCGCGAAGGCTATGAACTTAGAAATGGAGAGCAATTTGAAGAAATGACCTTAAATCTTAGTGTACTGACCCCTAATCGAATTGTTTGGGATTCAGAAGTGGAAGAAATTGTTTTATCTACTAATAGCGGTCAAATTGGCATATTACCAAATCACGCCCCTATTGCCACAGCTGTAGATATAGGGATTTTGAGAATACGTCTTAACGACCAATGGTTAACGATGGCTCTGATGGGTGGTTTTGCTAGAATAGGCAATAATGAGATCACTGTTTTAGTAAATGATGCGGAGAAGGGTAGTGACATTGATCCACAAGAAGCTCAGCAAACTCTTGAACTAGCGGAAGCTAATGTGAAAAAGGCTGAAGGAAGGAGACAAAAAATTGAGGCAAATCTAGCTCTCCGACGAGCTAGAACACGGGTGGAGGCTATCAATCCGATTTCATAACTAGTTGGTACGTTCGAATAATAAAAAGAAGTTCTCTTTCTAATCCTATTTAGATTCTGTCGGGTGAATACAATCAAATACAATCAAACAGAATCCAATTCTGATGCAAAAATTCAAATTCAAAAATGAAATAGAAAAGATACAAAATCAAAAAATCAATATCACTAAGGGTGGGTCGTAAACCTTATTAGATACCATTGACTCTGGTATCTAATAAGTTTTACCTACTATTGGATTTGAACCAATGACTCCCGCCGTATGAAAGCAGTACTCTAACCACTGAGTTAAGTAGGTCATTTATCATCCCAAAGAGAACCAAATGAAACCCATCCTGTCGATGGATTATAAATATCATATTACTTAATAAGCAATACTAATCTAAGGAATACCGCTCAAAGAGATCAAAGATTGTTGATGTTGGATCATGGAATATTTATCTTGACAAGAATTTATCTACATGATAAAATATGTATCACAAGCACTAAGGGCTATAGCTCAGTTGGTAGAGCAACTCGTTTACACGCGCGCCAATGTTTTTCAAGGGAGTTCATCATACAATCAGAAAAATTGATCTTGTTGAGAAATCGATGTCTTACTCCATAACTTTGAGGGAACCATAGCCTGACAAAGAGTTCGGTCCAATTTGGACGCCCATTTAGGAGGTGCCAAACAGACCCCATCATTGATTTGAGATCTTGATAAGGTGAATACCCAGTCTATTCAATGCTAGGCATAATGAGTATAAGGACCTCAAAAAAATCTCTTTTCGTCATATGAACTTTAAGGTGTATGAAGTTTCATATTTGATTTTTTCAGCAGAACGATAGAGACTTCATTTAACTTAGGTTGATCTAGGCCAGAGACAGACCTACGTCAAGATAATCCCACCTTTGAAACACTTTGGTAATGCTCCCAAATAATGAATCAGAGCACATGGAGCCATTTCCTTATCTTTTTTTCTGTCAAGAAAAAAAATGGCAGACTAACTGATATTTATATCAGTTAATGAAAGAGCCCAATGCAAAAAAAATGCATGTTGGGTCTTTGAAACAGTTCAGATCATTTTAATAATAATAAGTTTGACCTGTTTTACCGAGAAGGTCTACGGTTCGAGTCCGTATAGCCCTATAAAAATGCAAAATCCAAAAAATTCTATAATTTTCATTTCTTCATTATTATTTCTTGCTTGTAACTAAGTGAAATCCAATTATTCCTATAAGTTTACTCACGGCAATCGTTTAAGCAGATGAAAGAAAAAATGCATATCAACGGATCCAATCGATATTGATTTTTTCAATTGCGGATAAAGAAACCAACCTTTCGTCATTAATCTTCGGAGGCGAATTACATATTCATATCCACAATAAAAGAATTAGTGAGACTCCCTTTCTTTTGATATCCCCAATCTTATTGAGTTGTGGAAGTCAAATCATTTCACGGGCCTGGTGAAATGAAAAACTACGAAGAGGAATTCACATGGATTTAGGAAGGGCCTGCTGTATTTGTGTACAAGCTAAAGTTTTTTGAAAAACGAATACCTTTGGTCACTTTCATTGTCAAATAGGCTTTTCCTTCGTATACCTTACTTACCTCGACCTAGCGAAGCACAACACGAAAAAGGCAGTCCTCTTTTTCTGTATTCAACCAAGAAAAACCCCGTCACCTGGATTCGAACCCTAATACTATTATTAAATAATAATAATAAGGAATATACCAACACAAGATCTTCTAAATCTTGAGATGGAAATTCCTATACATTCTCTTCTATTTGATTACTTGTTCTATTCTAAATCACTAAGAAAAAATAAGAAAAAAGACCTCCTGATTCTATTTATAGAAAAAAATAGAAATCTTTAAAGAATTTCTAATTAAAGAAGAAATAAGATAAGTAATTAATTTAGAATTCCCCGTCTTTAGAGAAAATCCTGGATGAAAACAAGAGAAACAAGAGAATTTGTATAAGAGTAATATATAGTTAGAAGGTTCTACTAACTAAATAAAATGGAAATAAGTATAATGGAAATAAAATCGGATTCCAGTCGATGAATCTTGCAATGAGATATGCCCTACAATAAACCAATAAACAAAGCAAACTAGACGGTTCGATCAAAATGAATTCTTGTTTTGACTAAATAGTTATGGATGACTTGACAATTCCAATTCGAATCGACCAATCGAATCCGGTATATTTTCCACGTTCATAGGAGTGCGTTTATGTTTCTGCTTTACGAATATGATTTTTTTTGGGCATTTCTAATAATATCTATCCTTGTTCCTATTTTGGCATTTTTAATTTCCGGAGTGTTAGCCCCGATTAGCAAAGGGCCGGAGAAACTTTCTACTTATGAGTCGGGTATAGAACCAATGGGCGATGCTTGGTTACAATTTCGAATCCGTTATTATATGTTTGCTCTAGTTTTTGTTGTTTTTGATGTTGAAACGGTTTTTCTTTATCCATGGGCAATGAGTTTCGACGTATTGGGTGTATCTGTATTTATAGAAGCTTTCATTTTCGTGCTTATCTTAATTATTGGTTTAGTTTATGCATGGCGAAAGGGGGCATTGGAATGGTCTTAGCTCCTGAATATTCAGACAATAAAAAGAAAAACGGAAAAAATAAGATTGAGACAGTTA